ACTGAAGTCTATCCCAAAGACAGCAGCAGAAGCCATTGGCTGTCAATCACAGCAAGTGAGCCAATGAGAAGAGAGAGGGGGTGGGGCTGAGTCGATGCTTCATGTGTGAATTGACACACACTGAGCAGCGGCTGGGGAGTGCGCATGGTTGGGTGCCCTCATAGCAAGCTGCTTGCTGTGGGGACACCTGACAGGAGGGAGAGGCCAAGAGTGCTGGCTGAGGACCCGAGAAGAGGAGTATCCAGGCTGCTCTGTGCAAAACCATTGCACACAGCAGGTAAGAATAGACATGTTTGTTATTTTTAAAGAAACAAAAAGTAAGCCTTTAGAATCACTGTAAGAAATTCAGCCCCTCTGGGACACTAGGTTGAGTGTACAAAGCATGCAGCATCACAGAAAAACACTGAAGGTTTTACTTAGTACCCAGTAGTAATCCTTTATCAAAGAAAACAAGCACTGCAGTTAGTAAAGGCAAACTTAATATATGGTCACCTGATATGGTTGGTAACGAAGTAAGCAGAGAAATGGATTAACATTGGTAATAACGCAATTTAGTATACAGGGTGATTAGTAATAATTAGGCATACGTTGACACTTGGCATCCAGATCAGCTTAAATAGTAGCAAGGTCACCAAAAGCTCAGCAGAGAGAAGTAATAAAGCTTGATTTACCAAACACAGGCGCTATCCTGCCCAAGTGCATTAATGCCAACTATGCTAGGCCTAGGCAGACTGGATGTGCACTGTTTATAGAAATGACGGAAATGGGAGAAGGGAACAAATTGGGCTTGTAGGATGGGTTTACAGGAGAAGCAGTCCTTATGATGTTCTTTTGCTGGCTATCGTTGGGGCCCTTTAGGATGCATTGGTGCACTTAACAACAATTTTATCAAACCAGCATGCAGTATTGGTGAAGTAAAGATGCAGTAAGAATGCAATATAGGTGTGGCACAGGTGTAGTACAGGGGCAGTATAAGTGTGGTGAAGATACAGTAAAGGTACGGTATACTTAATGTCCTGCTTTCAGTAACTCGGTCCCTGCTAGCAGTGTGAACAATGGGCAGTGAGTCCTCTAACTGGTCCCTGTGGTGCTGCTGTGAACTTTCTCTGTAGGAAGGGGGGCCCTTAAGAATCTCCACAGAATGCCTCTAGAGATTCAGCAGTCGGAAGTAGAGGGTGAGAGGATGCTCTGGTCTCCCTGCAGCAATGGTGCAGATGCGGTGTGCTGCGGTCTGTGCTGCACTGCCTCAGGTGTCTCTGCTGGTCTGTCCTCTCACCAATCTGGTCAGTATTCAGCTAATGTGCTCTCATCAGTTGCCTCGGCGCCAAGAGAAAGCCTAGCTGAACAGTCTGAGAAAAGCAGCTCCACTGCTCTTCCTTGCCCCAGTGCCTCTTGGGAATTATACTGAAAAGGGTCTATAAGCTTCACAATATTACTTACTTCCTGGACTTCAAATCCCATGAAACTCAGTGTTCTGCATAGGAATTTTGCTGGCTGTAGTTCTCTCTCTGCTGATTGAAACGGATAAAGCAACACAACATTCAGCATAACAGCAGAAAGTGAAAGTAAACTGACTGTAAAGAGGGAAATGTCTCCTTCTCCATGTTTCTGTAGTCCAACACCTGGCTACACATAAAGAAATAAAAGCTGACCATTGTAAGCACCCCTGTCAGTGTTAAATGGTTTGTCTCAACCCAGTAATTGCTACATTTGCAGGAGAGCTTGTTCTGTTAAAAACATTAGACTTACTGGCCAGATCACAGGGTGAAAATAAATGAAAGAAAGCCTAAAAAAGAAAAATAATGCAGCCATCACATTTAATAATTGATAAGCTGCAATATACTAAATGTCTGTTTCTGGGTTTAAAACCTCTTTAAGTTGCTTTTGTAAATGAAAGCTGTCTTTGTATGGTTATCATCCTTGCATCTTGCTTTTTACTTGCATGTTAATACCAACATTTTTTGATGTGTGGTTTACCTTAGCAACATTTTTTCTAGTTTCTGTATCCTTCTAGTCACTCTGGCTGTGCATTATACATTGTAGTAGAAGAGGAAATTACCTTTGCATTGGCTTTTCCCGTAAAATTAATTATTGCTTTTTGAATACAGAAAAAGGGCAAACAAATGTCATAGAGAAGGAAAAGTAGTAGGCAGCATGCTAATGCCTAGAAGGAATTTCTGACAGACAACCACATTCCATGAATGTTTAAGACGCCCTTTTCTGTAACATGCATTCTGCCTTTTGTAAGGTAGAATGAGCATATGAAATTGGAGAAATGACAATAGAGACATACAGAATATGTAATAATATAGGGAGAGTACCTTTGCCAAGATACACAGACCAGACAAGGGACATGCAAACAATAACTTTACTCAGCTTGTGCAGATTATAAAAGATCTGAACAAAACAAGTGACAATAGGTTGTAACTAAGACGGAGACTAACCTATTTAATTTCACACAATTAATTGACTTGCATTTCAAGTGTCAACTGTCTCAACACTCTGTAGTCAAGCACTTGTCTAAGCATGGAGAGTGAGAGAGACACTGGCTGCAGATGCTCTCTGTGGCTGCTGCCCTACAGTGCTGAACTGGTTAACAGCTATATCAGCCAGAGGAGGGAGCTGCTGAGCAGGAAAAACTCAATAGACTAAGTAGGGCACTGTGGGAACTGTAGTCCAGAAGAGAGAGTTAACTGTAATCAAGAGCTTTTACAATTTCCCCATGATGCAGCCATAATGAATGCTAGGGCCATTAGTTTTCATTTCAACAGACCCAAAGTAACCTGAAATTCTTACATCAACCATGCTCTTGACTCAGAAAGCTTGTGCATTATTAGCACCACCTGGTGAGTTAATTTTAAAAGATCTTTACAAGTGCCAGTGGAAGCAGGTTCAGAACCTTGTTGTTACCTTTTGGAAACTATACACACCTCAATACTTGGTCCATCATATTCCCCAATTCTAGGGATCCAGTATGAAATCTGTGGAGTGTGGGGCTTTATTGTTTTGTTTTGTATGTTTTTAAGATGTTTTTCATTAAAGAAGTCGTCCATGGAATTTTTTTGATCATCAGCCTATTTATCTATGTTAGCACAACATGAATAAGTATACTAAAAACCAGCGAGTCCTGGTTGATTCCATAACCAATCTTTTTATTTTTGTTTGCATTAAGATGTTTAATTGGGGATTTTGAATGTTTGAAGTGATACATAATGCACTATTGAAATTTAACTAGTTGGGCTTTATTTGTGTTGAGATCAGGGCTTTGTGGGGGCCATACCATCTCTTTCAGGACTCCTTATTCTTCTTTTTGCTGATGATAATTCATTATGACTTTGGCTGTATGTTTGGGATCTTTGTCCTGCTGCATAGTGAATTTGGGACTGATTCCCTGAAGTTATTGCATGATGGATAAATGGACCTGTACAATGAGTTACTAAAATGTGCATTTTTTATTTATCTTTATTGTAGTGCTAAATATTACATTTAAAGGCCCCTTTCACACAAGCAGATCGATGGGGTCCGCCTGTTCATTTTTCAGGCGGACCCAATTGGTTCATCCATAGACTTCTATGGACTGGCGGATGTCACTGGACAATAGTCCGCTGCAGGGGCGGACTGACAACTCATGGGGCCCCCGGGCAACAGGGGATCATGGGGCCCCTGTGTCCTTGCCCAAACTCAAAAAGGTACCAAGGGCATCTCATGGGGCCCCCTACTGACCCCGGGCCCTCGGGCAGTGCCAGAGTTTCCAAATGGTCAGTCCGCCCCTGGTCCGCTGACACCCGCCAGTATCTGATCCAATTCTGTACACCAAAAACAGACGGATCGGGATCTGTTCTCCATCCATCCAGTGGATTGGGTCAGATGACAATCAGCTGGAAATGGACAGGCGGTCCGTTTCCATCCAACCGTCCCATTGAAATCATCCCCAATGGGTGATCGATGTACATTGCAGGGTTTTTAACAAACTTTGTTGCAGTTTCCTACCTTTTGTTCTTCAGAAGAAGTATCCGGTTTTTGTCTGTCCATGTACAGGATGAATCTGTAGGGGGGGTGGTTTTATGATTGTCAGTGAGCTAGCACCTGTGGGTCTCTAATGAGGAAATTTGCAATCTCTGTATCCCTTTAGATGTGATTTCCCTTTGGGGGTCTCTTAACAAAAATTATATTTTAGTTGCAGGGGATGCTCAAAATCTGACTTGTATTTTAGTGCAGACTTCTGTGAAAATCAGTAAGCCAATCACATAAGCAAGAAATGACATTTCTGGAGGGTGTTCTGTACACCATCTGTGTACAGAACACCTCCAGGTTGCCATCATGAATTGCATGTGACAAAAAAATCACAACACTGCAGATTGAAAAGGAAAGGAAACTTTTAATAACATTCAATTACAATATGACTTGATTCGCAATTGTATATGCATATTGTATATATATATATATATATATATATATTTTTTTTTTTTTTTTTTTTTTTTTTTTAATCTGCTAATTGTTTTCCCACGAAAGTTGAGTTACCCTTTAAAGCTTAGATAAATAAAGTTTAGATAGTTTCCCTATCACCAAAAAAAGATATAAGATGCATTATAAAGACGATATTGACATAATTACACTCCTTCAGCTGTTACCTTCAGATGGCACTATATATATTTGCAGCTTTTATATATAGTTATGCTCAAAAGTTTGCATACCCATTGAGGATTGGTAGTATGTGCCATTTTTGTTTGTTTTTTTTTTTTTAACCACCTCCCGCCCACCATATAGTAATATGACGGGTGCAAGATGGTTCTCTCATTCTGGGAGGACGTCATATGACGTCCTCCCAGTCTCACTGCGCATGCGCGGCTCAGGGAGCGCGTGGCGATTGGCGATGGGCTGTGTCCCTCGGACACAGCGGATCACCATTCACGGAAAGAGCCGAAGATGTCGGCTCGGTCATGTGATCAGCTGTGTCCAATCACAGCTGATCACATGTAAACAGGGAAATGCTGGTTATCGGCATTTCTCTCCTCTCGAGCTGTCACGCTGACAGCTTGTGAGGAGAGGAGAGCCGGTAATCGGCTTTTCCGCGAGGGGACATGTACACAGATCATCAGGGCACTGATGATTAGTGTGCCCTGATGATCAGTGTAGCCCCAGCAGTGCCACCTGTCAGTGTCCATCAGTGCCTCGTTCCAGTGCCCATCAGCGCCACATCAGTGCCACATATCAGTGCCTACCAGTGCACATCAATGCCACATAGTGCCCATCTGAGCTGCCTTTCTGTGTCACCCATCAGTGCCAGTCAGTGCCACCTATCAATGCCAATCAGTGCCACCTATCAGTGCTGCCAATCAGTGCCACCTATCAGTGCCAGTCAGTGCCACATATCAGTGCCAGTCAGTGCTGCCTATCAGTGTGCATCAGTGTCGCCTATCAGTGCCTGTCAGTGCCACGTAACAGTGCCAGTCAGTGCCGCCTATCAGTGCCGCCTATTAGTGCCAGTTAGTGCCACCTATCAGTGCCATATATCAGTGCCATGTATCAGTGCTGCCTTTCAGTGGCCATCAGTGATTCCTGTCAATGCCCATTAGTGCCACCTACCAGTGCCTCCTCATCAGTGCCCATCAGTGCCACCTATCAGTGCCCATCAGTGAAGCCTATCAGTGCCCATCAGTGCAGCCTCATTAGCGCACATCAGTGAAGGAGAAAAATCACTTATTTACAAAATTTTATAACAAAAACATTTTTTTTTCAAATTTTCAGTGGTTTTTGGTTTGTTTAAGAAAAAATAAAAACCCAGATTAAATACCACCAAAAGAAAGCTCTATCTGTCACAAAAAAATGATAAAAATTTCATATATGGCTACAGTGTTGCATGACCGCGCAATTGTCATTCAAAGTGTGACAGCACTGAAAGCTGGAAATTGTCCTGGGCAGGAAGGGGGTATAAGTGTCCTGTAGGCTAGTAGTTAAAGAAATGTTTATGTTTAAGTTTTATCAATACAAAATATATCTGCATAGAAATGTCAGCGGCATATACAGACAGTTATTAAATCTGGATAACATAAACCAATCAGTGAAGATCAGAGCACTATATAAACTAGTAGAAAGTTCGAAAGTATACAAATTGATAACTAAAATATAACAGGGTTGTAGGGTGAAGGGTGAGGTGGGGAAAGGAGAAGGAGGGGGTGGGGAGAGGAGGGTAGAAAAGGTAGAAATGAAAAGGCGGTGGGGGGGAAAGCGAAGAAAAAGGGAAGAAGAAGAGGGGGAAGAGAATGATAAGGGGAGTAATAGGAGAAGGAGGGATGAGAAACCCAGACCTAGGAACGCTAAAACATAGTGATGTCTAACCATGACAAAGAACCTTGTGCTTAGGTTCATTGTCATGCTGGAAAGGCCAAGAGCGTCCCATGCACAGCTTTCATGCAGAAGAATGCCAGTATGAATGCATTCATCTTACCATCAATTTTCACAAGATTCCCTGTGCCTTTAGAGCTCACTCATCCCCAAAACATCAGTGAGCCACCACTATGCTTCACAGTGGGGATTGTATTCTTGTTGCTACAGGCCTTGTTGACCCTCTCCAAACATAGCGCTTATGGTTGTAACTCTTTGACTATTTATACACAGACACTACTTGCAATTTTAAAAAGTCACAGATGTGGGAAATTAAACTTTAATTGCCATTATAGCCTGTGTGTGTCACCTTGTGTATCTGTACCAAGGCCAAACATTCCAGGGTATGTAATCTTTTGATCCGGGCCATTTGGGTGATTTCTGTTATCATTATGATTTAAAAAGGAGCCAAACAACAATGTGACAATAAATGACTTCATATGATCGCTATCCTTAAATGAAAGACATTTTTTGGCATGATCAGTCATATGATCAATATCAGTGCCAAAATTCCACAATTTCTGCCAGGGTATGCAAACTTTTGAGCACTACTATATTCATAATATATCATCAAACTATGTATCAAACACCACTCTTAAATTGTCCATAAGGGTACTTTTATACTCCGTTTTATCATCACGTTCATTTCCTCTCTGAGGCCATCAACATCAGGGCATTTCATAAATGTACCTGTAGACTGATAAAATACCAGCTTAAACAAGGTGTGCAGCGTAGTGTGAGTCGATGGTATCATGAATGGACTTGGATATTTCTTTCTTCTGAACAAGATGTAACAAATCCCAATTCACACAGTGCAGGCTAGTGTTGTCAAGTTCAATTCTTTTCATGTGTCTCTGTTGCAAATGTTTACATATATTTATCAAAAGCTAGCCACTTCCCCTTTGAAATCAGAATTCCAGCTAAAAAATAAAAGTAATTAACCTAGAAAAAAAAATGTTAAAACCTGCTTTCGTTGCAATACTGAGCATCAATTTTGTGATGTCCCCTGCAGTACTTCTAATCTGTCTCTAGATGTCTTCTTCCATATTGAATAATAGTCCACTTCCTCTGAGCCCAAAATGTTATAGACCTGCCACCCTGATTTGTTCTTATCAAATAGAGGTTCATTTACAGCATAATAATGAGTATGACAGTATGACATTAAACAGTGAAGCTCTCACTGACAGCAAACATTTGTTTTCTTGAAGACTTTTCAGAAAAATAAAATGAGGAAGCACAAGGCATTTTTTCTTAGTGCTTTTCATTGAAGAGCTGTTTGTGAGAAGAATAAGGAGCCTGCTAGTGTCTATGCTCTTCTGAGTCTGTTATTTGTCTGCTGATCTGTCCTGGCTTCAGGGCTTCCTTAGTTAAGCTGGCCAATCACTGATTGAAATTTGGCTGGTTCCAGGGGCGTCCAAAGGGTTGGTGTCACCTGGTGCAGTAACACTTGGTGTCACCCCTCCGACGATCCCTGCAGGATGCATCGGATCTGCGGATTGAGCATAATGGATCAGAGTCCAATCCATTATGCTCCCCAATCCGCAGATCCGATCCATCTTGCGGGGATTGACGGCTTGCAACCTATACGGGGTTAACTGATCTCTCCAAGAGCTCCACGAAAAGGTAAGTTTTAAAGCAAGCCGACAATCCCCGCAAGATGGATCGGATCTGCTTTAAAACTTTCCTTTTCGTGGAGCTCGTGGAGAGATCAGTTAACCCCGTATAGGTTGCAAACCGACGATCCCCGCAGGATGGATCGGATCTGCGGATTGGGGAGCATAATGGATCGGACTCTGATCCATTATGCTCAATCCACAGATCTGATCCATCCTGCGGGGATCGTCAGCTTGCTTTAAAACTTAACTTTTTGTGGCATGGATCCGGTGTCACCCCGTACAATAGGTGTCACCTGGTGTGGCAACCCCCCCCCCCCCCCCCGCACCTGCCTATGAACACCACTGGCTGGTTCAGCAGGCACAGGCAGAATTTAGATCAGTGTGTAGCAGTCCCCACTTGACAGAGGATGATCCTTTGATCGACTTCTGCCAGAGGGACGTGTCAAATAAAAAGTTCTCAATCAGCAGCTGCAGCCAGTCAGCTGTTATTACCTTTCCATTTCATTCAGAATGTAATTTCCTGTAAAATGTAATGCAATAATGCAATCTGTAGGCGTTCTGTACACAGATGGTGTACAGAATGACCCCAGAAATGTCAATTCCGTCGTGTGTGATTGGCTCACTGATTTTCCCAGAAGTCCACACTAAGTTACATATCAAATATTAGGCATCCTCTGCAATAGAAATTATATTTTTGGTGGGATACTCCCTAAGGGTTAATTACCTCTGAAGGGATGCAGACACTGCAACTTTCCTTATTAGAACACTGCAAATGCATCAGCTTATTATATTGAACACAAACTCTCCCATTCAGGAATCAGTATTCCAAGGACATAGCAGAACATACCGCTTTTTCTTAAGAACAGAAACAGGTTTGCAAAAATTCTTGCAATGTACATAGATCTTCCTGGGCAGATTGTTTTTATTAAATACTCTTTAAATACTGTTGTCGTTTTTTTAGACAGGAATATAACTAAAATTAAAGTGACATTTAAACTATATCCTTCTTCTCCAAAAATAATGAATATACATCCACTGTAATCTATTTTGTATGAGATTGTTTCTTTCTGGGTTTTCAGTCCTCCATAAGGTCCTGAACATCTCTTTTCCCTCCACACCTCCCTTGGCTTGACTACTTGTAGTCATGAGCACTGATCAATGCACACTACACATTCCTTAGTCACCGGTCACACCGCTGTGTGATTTAAAATTGTGCGATTTTGTGTGCAATTTCAGCACAATTTCAGGTGCGATTCCTGAAGATTTTATTGCTACTTGTGAAGATTTTCAACAATTTCTTGCAATTTGCCGTGTGATTTCCATTATATTCTATGTATGTGAAATCGTAACAAAACTGCAAAAAAAAAGTAATACTTTGGGCTTGGTTCACACTGGATGTGATTTAAAATCGTGCGTTATGTTTGCCGTGTTTTCTGATGATTTCCCAACGATTTCTTACGTTTTCCATTGCGTTTTGCAGTGCAATTTCTATTGTAGTCTATGTGAAATTGCAACAAACTGCAGAAAAAGTAATACAAGGACTACTTTTGAAATCGCACTGCAGCAAATCGCGTATGCTAAGACACTCACATTCACATTTATTAGATCCAATTTCAGGTATAATTTAAATCCACAAATTGCACCTGAAGTCACGGCAGTGTGAACCAGCCCTTAGAAATTGCTCTGCAGCAAATCGCAAAGGTTAAAACACTGACATTCACATTCATTAGATGCAATTTCATGTACAGTTTCAATTCCCAAATTGCACCTGAAATCGCACCAGTATGACCGTATACTTAGTCCCTAGTCCATCTCATAGTGATCAAGAGAGGGTGGCTACCTTTCTAAATACAGTGGGACCATGGAGAACGAACGTAGCCACCCCCCCAGTGTCCAGCCGAGCACATGTTAAAGCTTGTAGGAGGAGTTTTCATTCTGCTCTTTGCAGGACCCCTGATCTCTGTCTGGACAGTGCTGATTGGCCCTGTGGTGATCACACGCATTCTCCCAAGAGAAAAAAAAAACCCTCTCTAGCAATACACACCAAACTGAGCATGTGCAGAGTGACTCCACACTATAGGTCTTATCAGGAGATAAGAGGATGATACTGGAAGAAAGGGAGGATCAGAGAAATCAGGATCAAACAGCATTTTTACACAATGCAGAGGATTAACCCCTTAGGTTCCACAGTGAGTATAACAAGCATGCATTACTGCATATACAGACTGATTTTACTGTTATGGGTTTAGTAACACTTTAAGAATTCATACATGAATAGAATTTTTTCTACCACCAGAATTGGTATCACTTTAAACCTCGTTTTTTGATAGATCCTGGTTTTTAACTTTACA